CTTCCGTAAGTTACGTGAGAACCGAGGATTTCCGAGGTTCTCACGGAAAGTGGAATTTGTCCTCAAGGACGAAAATTCAGGTTCTCAAACTGCCATCTCTAAAAATAGAGCTAAAAAATTCGCGACACCTGAAACGTTATTTCTCAAGATTGAAATACTGTCTGTGGCTTGAAAAAATGTCAATCGAACCCAAAGATGCTAGAAAGTCGAAATTCCTGGACTGAATTTATCACCGACTATTTGGCAAATGTGATAAAAAATTAAGAAATCCATGTCGTAGAATTGATTTTGCATTAAATCTTTCCTCGGAATATTTTTCGGACAATGTGACCACAGGTTTGTATAGAGAAAATTCACTTGCATGTCACAATCGATTATATTTACGTTCTTCAGCAACATATAACAGCTGCATTTATTGTGTATTTTTCTTTAAAAACAGTTCATGGTTTTAAACGGCGTCATGTTCATTTTGACATTGGCTGGAGCGGCTTACACTTTGGACCATGGAATTGAATATTCCAAGTTGAGTCCATGGCTGAAAACCAGGCTTTTGCAGCTTGTTGACGGATATGAACACAATACAAGGGACAGAAGAATCATGGATATGATACAAGAATTTGTAAGTGATTTTGGCGACCCATATATACCTGCGTATAAATGAAATTGCGAGCCTGTTTACAAATTATGCTCCCAGCAAAAAAAATCATTTTTTTATGTATGTCCCATCTCAAACTATACCCATGTCATAATATTATTGCGCATGAAGAAACATTTTTTGAACTGGACTTCATTTCTCAATTCATGTTTATTTTGACGCAATATGTATTTTTATCTTGAAATGTGGTAGACTTTTGAAATCATGCATTGTATATGCGTCAGACCGCTCCAATTATTCGAATAATATGTACCCTACCTTGAGTAAAAATGTAAAAGGGATAAATGCTCCCCAGGATTCAAGCAAAAGATGAATCTAATTTGAATTTAGAATAATTTACTGAGGAAATAACATTTATTGAGTAAAAATGATGTTGCTCATCATAACTTTTAACGTCCGCAGTGGGAGGAACAACCAGTAGGATCCTACAGGGGTTGGGGGGGGGGGGGGGAATAAGGACGTCGTGTAACGTGTGTCTGGGGCCTGTTGGGGGGGGGGGGGGGGGGGGGGGGGGGGGGGGGGGGGATAATAAGGACGTCGTGTATTGTGTATGTGGCCTGTTTGTTTACTGTTTGTTTCTTACATGAAAAAAAATGCATCCAGTACATTAAGTTGTAAGGATGGCTGAGTGGTCTAAGGCGCTGTGTTCAGGTCACACAGTCTAGTTCTGCAGGCGTGGGTTTGAATCCCAATTCTGCAATCGTTTTTCTTTTTTTTTTTTTGGTCCACACTGTGGACGCTCTACTACTTGATATGGATCAGTTACAGTACTGAATTTGCATCGGTTTTTTTTAATTTAAACTATTTTATTTGGTGTTGGGTGGAGAGGAAAGACTAAATAGTCTCCTTTTTCCACGAGATTCCCAACATTATTATTCTACTTGACAAAGGACTAAATAAGTCAAGTAACACCAATGGCGTTTATACCACAGATGCGAAGGGTCTAAAAAGTATTTCATGAGATTATAACCGATAAATTTTGTGTTTGTTTGAAGATCGGCTGCTGTGGTTCCATAAGTGCAGGAGACTATGACAACATTGGAAGAGAGATTCCTGATACATGTCGACATCCTGTGACAGGAAACGATTATGTTGATGGATGCTACGAAGTATTTGCCTGGTATTTGGAGACCAAAAGCGGTTGGATTGCTGGGGTCGCTCTCTTCCTTTGCTTGTTTCAGGTAAATAAGTCCTGCATTATTGCTTCAAAAAATAGGAAAAAAGAATTTTGCGCAGGGCACCTGTGAGATTTTTATAATGTATTTATTTGCTATTATTTGAAAATCCTGAGGTGTATGATGGTGAGGTCAAATCAGGTATATGCACAATATAAGAAATAAATGCAAGATTGATCAGCTGGGTAGAGGCGCTGGGGTTTGCACCCAATGAACCAAACATGTGTAGGGTTTATGCCAAAAAAGTTTGAATGAGTTGCTTAAAATTTAAAGAGTATCAAAATATGCGCAAGGTTTTGTAATACAAGTTTAAATTACTGAATTTGCAAGTTATTTGAGATTTTTGAATTTACTGTTCAAAAGGTTTAGAATAGATAGTTGTGTCAGCACTCAGCAGTGGGTGAACTGATGATTTTCTTGGGGTTTCCTTGTCCTTTTAACCCTTGGACAGCAGAGGATTCCTGCTGGCCATCCTGCAACAAAGTTAGGATTGGGGGGGGGGGGGGGGGGGGGGGGTTTTTTTTTTTCCTGCTGGCCATCCTGCAACAAAGTTAGGATTGGGGGGGGGGGGGTGTACTTCAGTTTCACCATAGGTCACTGAAATGTGCCCTAATCCAATGCAAAGAATTCCTGAGATAAAGTCACCCTATGATGTTTTTTTTTTTGGCAAATTTTTCCACAGGATTATGAAAAAAATATTGGACTTTTCCCAACTTAGGCCTTGGTGAAAAAATTAAATTTCAAATTTGTCAGTGATGTTCATGTGGACAAAATTTTGCCAAAAAAATCCAGACTGCCCTGTACAAGGGTTGAAGACTTCCTTGCAGATATACCCTTCAATAGGTTCAAAGAAGGATTCTTTTTCCATTGCAATGGGTTGAATTTTTTTTATGGAGCCAGCAGAAGAAGTAACCAATCAATTGCTGTTTTGATGAATGCCCAAGCTAGCTTGGTACCAGCCAAGGTTGTTTTAGCCATTTGTTTCAGCATATAGCTGTAAAAAAAAAAATCAGTGCCTCTGCAGGGAAGTATAATCTTTAACCTTATTGGCACCTGAGAAATGGCTCCAGCCAGTTTCTTTCTCAGAAATTAACCCTTGGGAGGCTAAGTTGGACTATTTTTTCAAAATTTTCTTGTACCTCTGAGAAGAAAAGAAAAAATGACAGCAGGGAGTTGAGGACAAAGTTGAAAAAAATTTTGATGTTTTTTTCTATTGGTGCAGAAAAAATGTGCAGGAAAATAAAAAAAATGCTATTTTAAGCAACAGGCTTTTTTGGGATTAATGGGGACTTTGCCTCAGCCCACCTGGAAGGGCTTTTCTGACCTTCAGAAAACTGAAAATGACCCAGCATACAAAAATGATCTGACTTTGGCCAGCCATGGAAAAGAACCCTCTGCTGCTGGAGGGTTAAGCTCGTCCTTTTTTTGGTTCAGAAAAACAGTTGGCTCAAATTGCCTTGTTTTTGCTGTTACTGAAGTCGTTTTTTATTACTCCATAATATGTGAAGGCAAGTCACTGTCAACGTAAAAGAACACCCTTCTTAGGATTATCTACCCAAAAAATAGGTATTCTGCCTTCTTTTATGACTTCTCAAAAGTATCTCCCTTTTTTGCCTGACGTATGGATCCAAGGAATTATATTCCTTGCGCCAAATCTCCTCATGCTGTTTGCGAGCTTCGAAGATACATCATCATTAATTCGCAAATTTTTATACGCAGAATCTCAGCAGGAGTGATCGGACATTACAAGTTTGTTAGCAATATAAATTCTTTACTCCAATAGATTTCTTGAATTATTTGAGTCATACATGACGGATGTAGGAAGTGAAAACAATTAGCGTGGTATTTTTGAATAATAGCAAATCTGGATTAAAATGCTGATATACAGTATATGAATGTTTTGGTACTTCACGTATAGTCGTATGATTGTTTATTTGTGACATGAGGTCATAAATTTTTAAAACTCCGGTAACTCAGTTAGTTAGCTTCTCGGTATTGTTTACAAATATGGTCGGATGACGTCATCAGGGGCCAAAACAGCAAGTGTCAAGAAACAGAAGATAAATTGTATGCACCGCAATAAACGCATCATTTTCGGCGCATAACGTACGACTTCTATACGTACAATAAAATTTGTCGAAGCAATGTAATATTCAAAAAACTTCGTTATCGTCGAACTGCTTATCATTCTTTCTATACGGATATACTGTAGTCCTGTCAAGCTTATCTTGTACGCAAACCATAAAATCTTATTTGTTTTCCAAGTCAATATATTTTCAGCTGATGACCTTGCTTCAATAATAATTGAGTACATGTGGCAAACACGGTGAGGGTTTCGGAGAAAAAAAAGCCAAACATAAAGATTTTGATTCGAAGCAGAGGCGAATTTACTAGAACAGTACTAGGTTCAAGATTTCTGTTGAATTTGCTGAATTAGCAAATTCATTAACGGCAATTTGGATTCGGCATGAATTCAACACATTTTCTTCTGTTTACAGATTGTTGCTATGGTGTCTTCATGGATCCTTGCTCGTGGGATCATCATCGACATGCAAAGATCCGGGTATTACGAATGAATGATTAAATTTCATTGTGGATGAAAATGACTATTGAATGTCGACAACTTTGGTTTAAATGCTGAGGGTCCCATGTTTTTTTCAAGTGAGTTTATGGTTGTGAAATGAACAATTGTTTGAAAATTTTCGCCTTATTTCACGTAGTGTAGTTTTTGCTACTACAGTATACGTAACATAAAATTTAATGACTTATAATTTCATCGGGTGCTCAATTAGATCAACGCAGGAAAATATTGTTTCCCTATAATATTGCTGATTAAAAATCAGATGACCGTTCTTAACGAACATGACATTCGACAAAGCAAGCGACCTCAAATTTTCAACTCAGCACCTGCAGAACTGAAAAATACCGGAATATTTTTGTGAAATAAATGAAACATGATGAATTTTGGCACTTGGTCCGCGTGGTTTTATTGATTTTGTAGCAAATATAAAGGCTCGTTTTTTCGCAGTGGTAACAAAGTTTTTTTTTCAATTCTTGGCATAAAAAAAAGTATCGTTTCACACGGAACTTTGGGAACATCACCCATATTGAACTCCGGATGCTCAATAACAAACAAAGACGCCCACCCCCCTCCAAAATGAACCTCTCACATTTTTATTTTATTTTTAAATTCGTTATTCGTTCCTGTTTTCTACTTCTTCTTTCCGTATCCGCTGGAAAAGCCCTTTGTGATACCGAATCCGGTTCCGTATCCCGCATAACCCTTGACTCCCAGTCCAAAGTGTTTCTTGCCAACGTGACCCTTGAGACTTTTCCCGTATCCGTAGCCATTGAAATTGCCGCCATGCTTGAACTTCTTGCCGAAGCCGCCGGCGCCGTATCCAAAACCGCCACCGCCACCGCCGACGCCGCCGTATCCAAGTCCATAGCCGCCACCGTAGCCGTAGCCCCCTGCATAACCGCCGCCTCCGTAACCGCCGTAACTCGTGCCGTAGTTGGGCGGCAGTCCGGCGTAGTTGGGGCCCACAAAGCCGCCGCCGAAGCCGTAGTCGCCCTTGAAGCCGCCTCCGTAGCCACTACCGTACCCGGCTCCATGGCCACTACCGTACCCGCCGGAAGTGTAGTAGTACTGCGGCTCCAACTGGATGATGGGCTCTACATAATGAGAGTACTGCACTCCTCCTCCATAGCTGAAATGGTAGTTTCACAATTTTAGCATTTTTGTGCCGTTTTTCATAAACATAAAATGAACGAGGAATTAATAAAATGATTGCAGTTCAAAACACATTTGATCAGGTGGACACTCTCTACAATTAAATTCCATGGACCAAAAAAGGTGTTTAGAAAATAATTTGCTACATATCCCTGCATTACGTGGTTCAAGAACCCCGTGCATGGGAACACAAGAAAAAAAATGTTATACAGAGAAAACTGTTGCAGATGCGATTTTTGTAGAGAGTACACCTGCATATTGAACTCACAAATACAGTACATTATCCCCAAAAACGAGCAATATTTAATGCCAGTATGTCACAAACCGATGAACACTCTGGATTCTTACTACATTTTCTCCAATAAATGTGTGGTCTCCAAGATGGAGGCCTGTCTCTAATAAAGACTGGGTCTCAGAAAAGCTTGAGTCAAATCATAGCCAATATTTGATAGTAGCCACTATCCAGAAAAACGGATAAGGGGAAGAAAATGTATTGAGAAATATTATGATGCAAAACATCCTTTGCACCCACGTACTGTATTTAAAAGCTAAAGAAAAAGCCATTTCCAAACATGATTTCTTAAGGCATTCCTGTCTCATTTATTGCCCAATAGAAGTTGCCATCAAAGGGTCAGCACTTTTTCAATTGGTTGATTTTTTACTTCTTTTTTATCTTGTCCTGCAGTCTGAACTGTCGTAAATAAGTGCCAGTATCTAATAGAAGCCAGTCTCAACTAAATATCAGGAGAAAAATGCAATGTTTTCAATAAACACCTGAACTTTTTGTTAGAGTATACACCGTATAAGCGTTTAAGTGTGAATCCAATGTTTATTAGGAGCAAACCAAATAAGCCACACAGTGGAACTTTTTATTCAGGTTGCACTCAAAGAGAGCACCCTGTAAAAAATGATTTAATTATTTTTTCAGGTCACATGCATGCAGTTTATGCTGGGAAAATCATGCAGAATTACAAAAATTAACATTGGTGATATTCTGATAGACATTGAACTTCTTTATACATGAGATGACAGAATTATAAAATTGATGAATGACGTTAATTTACACAAAAATCAACAATTTCCGTTTGAAAATCGTCAAGTTAAATTGCTATTGCTTTTTCTCTAGCATTGGTCTGCAGAATAATAGCCCAGCAATAAGGGATTGAACGAATTTGTGTTTCAGAGGTTTGAGTTGGAAGAAATTCTTCGAGACAGGAAGACTCATAATGCATTTTGTCTGTGAAATTCAGACAGTGCCTTTAAACAATGATACATGAAGGCATTTCTGAATTAATTGGGGAGGTACAAGGTATTAGGGTACAACTGTATACTGTACAAAGAAGACTTTCACTTTTTGAAAGTTCTAAGGAAATTCACAACCAACCCTCAAACTTTTATCTGTCTGCTGAAACTTGTTTTCAATCCAAAACAATCATTTTTGTATGACTTGGTCAACATACCTGTACAGTGCAGTACTTCAACACTATCGAAAGAAAACTGATAAAAGTGCTTACTATTTTATTGATTATAAGGTATACAATTTTTTCTTCAGAAATATTTTTTCAGGGCGATGCAAGTAAATATCATCGAAGACTCCCAACCAACGATGACCAACAGAAAGGAAATATATTTTAATTTCTCACCCTCCGCCGATTCCACTGCTGCTAAAACCATAGCCAGGTCCAGGATATCCCCCAAATCCGATCCCGTATGGAACAGCATTCAAGCCAGCATGCTTCTTCGCCTTGTGGTACGCCTTCTTGAACAAAATCTTGTCGATGAACTTGTGGAACTTAGTTTCTAGTCCGAAGATGTCGCCTCTTGAGTCTGCCTTCGTCTGCCGTGTTTCCCCCTTCCGTGAATTGCGTCCAGCTGCAGCTGTTGATCGCGTGATAGCCAAAGTTGCCACCAAGGCAACGACTAGGCAACAGCGAGGAATCTCCAATTTTTTTTTTCGGAAGAAATAAAAGAATGTTAGCTTATAAATTCATCCCACATTTGAAATTTCAGTCAAATCTAGCGGGTGATCGTTTACAAACGTCCGCGTTACAATTCGGGAAATGCGGTACGCTGCTTGTACTGTAATATTTTCCTGAATTCCTGAAATCAAATCCTCTGTCGACTATAGTCGCAAAAAGCCAAGGGATACTTTTTAAAATGTACTAGCTTTTGCTGCCGAAGGTTTTGTTTTTTAAACGAACCAGAAACAATTTCATCTCTAAGATACGGTGTTCTTTGTTGAGAGAGAAATCCCAAAATCGTCGTAAAGAAGAAAGCGACGGTTCGAATTTATCATGAAGTTCAGGGTGAAATTTCTGAGGCATAAAGGAATAAAATATCCCAAATGCTCACCGGACGAGCGTCTATAAAATAATGAATCCATGCAGTACTTTTATATGGTTGCACTGGTGTAAGCTGTAATATTTTTATAAAAGGAAATGCAAATGTTTCCCGCTACAGCTCATCAGAAATGTAATTACCAATTCACGATCATCTATCAAGATATATTTCAAGATGAAATACTGCCCAATTTTTTATTCCGTTTTGAAACATAAAAAAAAAACCAGCACAAATTTCTTTTTTATTCTTGATATCCCATTTAAAGTTGCAATTTTTTCTTTATCTCGGGTTTCCAACAAGAATAATAAGAGGTGAGTCATGGTAATACACGAGTTTCTTGTTTTCTTGAGAGAATATGACATTCAGCTAATAAAATTGAGAAAGTTATTCTGCAACTGGAATGTGTCATACATTCTATTGATGATAAATGCTGTAACTAGATCGCTTTATTATGATTTACTGTAGACGGGCTTTCTGCGGCCGGGACTCAAGAAAAACTCAAGTTATTCGAAAAAAATTCGTTATAATCGAATTTGATGCAATATTATTTTAGAGAGCAGGACTTATTCTTCTATGGTAGAGATTTTTTCATCGCATATGCCTGAAAATGAAGCGCGATGACGTCTAGGAATTTTTGGCCAGCATTACGGCGTGGACAAAAATTTTCTCCTAAACAGCGAATTTTTAGAGCAGCATTCGAACAAGATTCGGAAACAATTCATTATTTTAGCATCACTCAAATGTTCAATATTTACACTGCTGGAAGTTTCCCGAAAGTTTCATGCCGTATTTTTAAAATTTGTTCTCCTTATATCCCCTGCATGTGAGGATTTCACGACGGATTTTCGCACCTTCATTTCGTCGAAAGAAATCGTCTCGGACGTTCCTTTATTTTTGGTACACCAATAAAATTCCTCAGAAGAAAACGAAACAAATCTTGTTATACACCGCACTGCTGGGGAAGAGAAGGAAGAAAAAAAAACTTGAGTTTGGAGTAGTTTTTTGACGCGTGTCCGAAGATGAAATGAATCCAAACCCGGACTTCAGTCCGATTCTTGTCAACTCGCCAAGGAAGTCAACAGCTGGATAAACAAGAGAAAACAGGAAGAAATGAAACAGTTTTCTTTTTCTTTTCAATAATCCGCCCCACTATTGTTTGAGTGTGTTTCGCTTTATCCGAGCCATTTACATCCGGATTTCTGTGCAACTTTCGGCGTGTTTTGTGTCCTGCGAAGACAATGGGGAGGTGACGGAATCCTCATACGAATTCACTTTCAGTTATCGAAGTCCGAGCGGATCTCAAAACGGATCTGAGAATATTGTCTCCGAAGTTCCTTTTCGTATTATTATTATTTTTTATCACACAGGTAAGAGAATAAAACATGAAGACGCAACAGGTAGACGCAAGAACCCACGGAACCCACGATTGCCTCAGGCTCTAAACACAATTTCACAAAAAAAAAAGCAAACCCAGCGAAGGGTTACGTTTGAGTCGGGGTCAGCCAACGCATGTGTTGAAGGTCATATTCAGAGAAGATTCGAAATTCACCAGAAAACTGAACCCAATAAGGTTTTGTGCAGTATAATCTGACAG